ACGAGAATCGGAAGGGGAGGATGCTGAGCGGCGATTGCTGAGGCATGAGGAGGATCGATCCGGATTTTAGTAGGCGCCCGCCGCACGCGAAGAAAATTTGGGCGGAGCGCCGTACTGTGTAAACTAAGTATCGATCACGGTGGGAGTGGGAGCCTCTTGGCCCCAGGCCCGTGCCACGGCAGACTTAGCCCGCATAAGAGGCTGCCGCCGATCTTAGACCGCGTAAGCACACTGCCGTGCGGAAATGTGACGTCCTGACGTGCACACTTAGACCCGCTCAGCCTCGAGGCTCAGAACTTAGACTACTACCCAACCAGTCTCCACAGTGGGCCTGGAGCTGGGGAGTCCGGGGTGCACACTCACGCCTCACCACCCGCTTCGAGCCTCTCGGCAAACTCGGCCCAATGCTCGCCACGGCAAGGCTCGCGATACACGGCAATGCATCCCGTGGTAGGATCAACATCACCGTCACCGCAGGGTGGCGTGGCTGTGGCTGTGGCGCGCATCCCTGATGGATGTTCGGACATGGCGACGCAGCTAAATCCTGAAATCCTCCCGACGGGAAAATTCTTTTCTGCGAACGGGGGCGCACGACCACCCACGAGGGCGGTCGAACCACATTGCGCACTGCCGAGGTTTTGACGCCACGCCAACGGAAGTCGTCGTGCCAGCGGAAGTCGTGGGTGGCTCACACCTCGGCAGTGGAGTCAAGACCTCGGCTCGCTCTCGGAGTGCGCGGCGTCGGCAGTGCGCAGCGCCCAGGCCGCCGCTTCATCTGCCAGCTGTGCACCACGTGCGATGCGGGGTCAGCAAGGCAGGGAGAGGTGATGTCAGAGGGTCTGGAGAGTGCGGTGAGGCGCACGCCTCCTGCCAGCCCTCCTCGCCAAGCAACCAGTGCCCGCGCCCTTGCAGGCGGTGCGACTCACCATTCACGAGCCTGGCAGTACGCCGGGTGTATGGCGTTGCGCGGTCCCGCGTGCCGCCGTAGACAATCACGGGCTGCGTGACCAGGTCTCTTTCTATGTAGCCCTGGCTGCGTGAGCACGAAAACATCCGTCCGATTGGCCACCACAGCAGGTCTGCGATGGCAGCCCCCGACTCGGGCCCAAAAAGTGCTTCCGCCTTGTCGCGGACCTCCGGGTCCGCTAGCCGGTTGAAGAAGCCGAATCGACGCTCCCACCTCGACACATGCTGCACAGGCCGCTTCCATATCAGCCTACGAGGCGTGGGAGACGTTAAATTAGACAGAGGAGAGTGCGCATCTCACTCGACCCTCGCGTGCTAATCACTCGTCGAGATGGCGCGCGAACAAGATCAGCTGCGAGAAGGCAGCCGGTGCCGCGCCTCCGATCACGTTTGCCGGAGCAGCGGGCGCCAGCAGGATTGCAGCATGTCCAATGCCCCGCTCCAGAAGCTTCAGGGCAATCAACCCGCCCATGGAGTGGCCGCAAAGGACCAAGAAGCCTTCCACGCTGCGAGCGAGCTCCGCTAGGTCGTCGCAGTAATCCTCGAGCCTCAACTTGCCAAGGCTCCTTGGAGCGGGAACTTCGTCGTGGTGCCTCAGTGTCGGCGCCAGCGTGTGCACACCACCCGCTTCGAGCCTCTCGGCAAACTCGGCCCAATGCTCGCCACGGCAATGCATCCCGTGGATCAACATAACCGTCACCGCAGGGCGTGGCTGTGGCTGTGGCGCGCATCCCTCTCGCGATGGCTCTTCGGACATGGCGACGCACACATCGCCGGGGCGACGCACATACGTTTCAAAAAAAGAAATTGCGCCGGTTTAGCCAGGTCCGCTGGGTTGTTGTTTTCTTTCTTTCTTTCTTCGCGCATTCGATCATGGACGAGGTCCGGGAGGAGGCGCCGCTTGAGCAGCGTTGGCCCGTTGGGTTTGCGCACGCCCCGCCCGGCCGTCGGGCAGCAGGAAGTGAGAGGGGCCGTCCACCTCGACCGCGACGCGTGACGAGGGCAGCGCCAGGTCGAGCGAGTAGCCGGTGCGCGGCTCGAGATGCTCCTCCTCGGAAGCCGTGCTGTACGGCGGCGAGGGCAGCCGCGACGGAGCGTTGGAACTCAGAGATCGTCACTTGCGTGTCTTGCATAGCGTCGCGGCAAAGCTGGCGCTCGGAGGTGGGGAGAAGATGCTGCCCGTCTGCTCCTCGCTCCAGGGAGAGCCAGAGCTGCCACTGGTGAAGCTGATAGCGGCCCCCGACGCGCCACGTTGACGGATCCCGCGCGAGCGAGTCGTTGATCACGCGCGAGCATACGGCAAGCAGTGCCTGGCGAGAATGGTCTGCCGTCGCATTCCCAAGCAGAGAGAGCTCCCAAGCAGAGCTCCCAAGCAGAGCTCCCAAGCAGAGCTCCCAAGCAGAGCTCCCAATCAAGCAGAGCTGCGTGCGCCCGCAGAGCACACCACAGTGTCAAGTCGTCCGAGCCAGACTGTTCTTCACCTTTCTACCTACCTACCTACCTAGGAAGAATTTAACGACAACAACTCTCTCTCACAGCAGAAGAATTTAAACAAAACAACTCTCTCTCACAGCAGACAGGCTCGACACAGGTGCGAAGAATAGGAGGAGGAGCAGGAAGAGCTGAAGAGCTCAGCGAAGAGGAGCACCACCTACGGGTAAAATAACACGGGGAGGCACCCTTGGCGTGTCTGCTGTTCGTAATCATAGAGAATCGATCGGCTCCACCCAGCCCGGACGACTGCGTAGAATCCAGAAAACAAACACGCCGTGGCCCGCCGCAGGCGCCGATTTTTTCGGATTTTTTTTTTGCAATTTTTTACTTGTTTTCATGGGAATTCGGCGGCCATGCTATCACGCCTTGCGACAGCCTGTCGGCGCAGCTGACCGTGCCATGATGCACAATTGACCACCTGCATAGCTCGCGGCCTTAGTATCAAGCATTCAGTGACGACCTGATCGTACGGCCAGTAGGAAGGTGTCCTTCCATCGTGTGCACGCTTCTGGCGCAATGCGCGTCGCCTCGGATTGGCTGCTGGCACTCTCGAGGCTATGCCTACACAGCCTCGCGCGCATGGGCAGTCAAGAGGGACCACGCACCTTCTCAGGACAGCGCCGGTGCCTCTCTCTTGGAAAAAGAAATTGCGCGCGCGACATCGGCTCGTCGGCAACCACGAGGCCGGAGGGCCCGATGGGTGCCGGAGAGAAGCCATGCACAGGCCAGGCGTCGGCAGTCTTCGTCATTGGCCTCGTGGCGGGCACCGGCTGCGTCATCTTCTCAAAGACTCTCTTTGAGCTCAAGTCCGAGGGCCTGAACGGTCGCCGCAACACGCCAGCAGCCGCGTGAGAGGGAGGGAGGGAGGAGGGCGGTTCGACGGCGCACACCCGGGCTGCGCGCCCGCACGACGTCGAGCGCATCGCAGTGGCCAGACAGCGGGCCCTCGCGCGGGCGTGGGCTGGTGCCATGACGCGCCTCGGTCGGCGTCCGCAGGCGAGCTGCTTCCGTTCAAGCCGCAGGTCTTCCAGTCGTGGCTCATGTTCTTCGGCATGCTGTTCGCGCTGCCGATGTACCTCGGCACCGAGTGGCTGCGCGCGCGCAAGGCCAGGCACGACCCCGCCCTCAAGGCTTGCCAGGGGCCGGAGCCGTCGGCGGCGCGAGCGAGCCCATCCCCGAACCTTTCCCGGAACCTTCGCGTAGGCGGCGATGGACGCAGAGCCGCCGGTGACGGTCAAGACGCTGCTGATGCTCGGCCTCCCCGCTGTCTTCGACCTCCTGTCGGTGCGGGTCTCCGCGCGTCCGACACAAACGGCCGACACCCGCCGCCGGTCGATGGCCGCCTCCTCTTCAGCGGCTCGCGGTTCGCCTGCCGCCAGGTGCTTCTGATGGTGGCGGGTCTCATGCACATCTCGGCGTCGATCTGGATGCTGCTGCGCGGCGGAGGGATCGTCTTCGTCGCGCTGATGAAGCAGTTCGCCCTCGGCGACCGTCTCACATGTGGTTCCCCGACACTTCCGGGACACACTTCCGGGACACACTTCCGGGACACTTCCTAGGCGACCGTCTCACTCCCGCCATGTGGTGGGGTGTCGGCTTCATCGCTCTCGCGGTGACGATGGTCGGACTCTCTCCGATGCTCGCAGAGGCGCCCCGCCGGCTGCACCTCGCACCTCCACCTCGCACCTCCGCCCGCACCTCCACCCGCACCTAACGTGTATCTCGACTGCATCTCGACTGCATCTCGGCGTCATCTCCGCCGGAGGGGCGAGATGAGACACGTCCCCGACACGTCCCCGACGCCGTCCCCGACACGTCCCCGACACGTCCCCGACGCGTCCCCGACGCCGTCCCCGACACATCCGAGATGAGACACGTCCACGACACGTCACGACACGTCCCCGACACGTCCCCGACGCCGTCCCCGACACGTCCCCGACGCGTCCCGTGCAGGCGCCCTCGCCGTCGGAGGGCGACGCTGCGCCCGCGGCCGACAGCAGCGGGCCGCTGGCCGGCATCGCTCTCACCATCGCGGGCACGTCCTGCCCGTCGCTGCAGTACGTGATTAGGAATTCACAGTGGGTTCACGGTTGAGTAATTCCTTAGGCACGTTCTGCCAGTCGCTGCAGTACGTGATTAGGAATTCACAGTGGATTCATGGTTGAGTAAGTAATTAGGCACGTTCTGCCAGTCGCTCCAGTACGTGTACGAGGAGAAGGTGATGGCGGGAGACGTGCAGGAATTAATTAATATTAATTCATCAGTTATTTAATTGATTGATTAATTAATGAGGTGATGGCGGGCGACGTGCAGGCGCCGCCGTGGCTGCTGATCGGGATGGAGGGCTTCTTCGGCGCGCGCCTCTTGCACGAGCGGCGTCTGCCCGACCGCTCTCGGTGCCGGACTGCCGGCTCTCTCTCTCTCTGCAGGCACGCTGCTCTGCACGCTCGTCGTCTACCCGATAGCGCAGGCAGCCTCGCCGCCGCATGACGGCATCTCCGGCAGCCGCGCTGCCACTGCTCTGACTCGCCGCCCTCCCCCCGCCGCCCTCCCCCTCGGTACCCGAACTCATCCCCTACCCCCACGGTACCCGAACCCCCGCGCAGATCGCGCCCGGTCCAGACCATGGCGTCGTCGAGTCGCTGCCGAACACGCTGCTGCAGATCGAGCACTCGCAAGCGATCCAGCGGATGGCGCTCGGCTTCTGCGTCCTCGTCTTCCCCCTCGACTCCACCCCCGGTGAATGAATGGGTCACTCTGAACCACAGGCGCTCGGCTTCTGCGTCCTCGTCTTCATCCTCAACTCTTTCTCCGTGCTGGTCCCCCTCCTGCCCCCCCCCCTCTCGGCCCGCTGTGAAGAGCGTCTCTTCACGCCGCCCTCCCTGTGCAGGTCACCTTCATGCTCTCCTCGGTCTGGCACGCGATCCTCGACAACTTCCGGCCGATCACAATCTGGATGTGCAAATCTCCCCATCTCTCCCCATCTCTCCCCACATCTCCCCCTCGACAACTTCCGGCCGATCACACTCTGGATGTGAGTGCCCGAGATTACCCGAGATTACCCGAGATTGCCCGAGATTGCCCGATCACAATCTGGATGTGCAGCTTCCCCCTCCCTCCCTCCCCCACCCCCGCGCCCACGAGAGTGCGTCGGAGGACCCCGGCCATGGCGCGAGATCGCGGCAGGTGCAACCTGTACATCTTCCATGCCACGGACGGCGCACACGGCGAGCCGTGGAGCAGCGGCTCGTGCACTCATAATAATTGGCAGCTCATGAATAGTTGATTAGTTCATTAGGCGAGTCGTGGAACAGCGGCTCGTACCTCCAGCTCCTCGGCCTCGGCGTGATGCTCTACGGCCCCCCGCTAGCCGAGATCTCGCCGAGATCTCGCCGAGATCTCGCCGAGACGCTTGCGAGCCCTCGGCCTCGGCGCGGCGCTATACGGCCCTCGCACCCGACAAAGGCTCCGGCTGCCGCCGTTTGGGGCGACTCAGTCCCGATCCTCTAATAAAAAGGGTAATACTGGTCTGGCATGATAATACTGATAGTGATGAGATGCCCCACAGGCGCCGCCGCCTACAATAAGAATGAGAACGAGAATGGGAATGAGATGCCCCCCTCAGGCACCGCCGTCTACAACGGCTCCGTCAAGCTGCCGTGGAGCCCGGACGGCGAGAACCTTCTCGGCTCGGGGCTCTTCGGCGGCGCCTCGCCTGGACGAGAGTACCCGAGAGATTACCCGAGATTGCCCGAGATAGGCTCGGAGCTCTTTGGCGGCGCCGCGTCGCGCATGGCGTCGCCGGCTCTCGCCCGCTCGCCACTCCTCACGGGGGCGCGCCTTGGACCCCCCCCCCCCCCTCCACCCCCTCCACCCACTCCACCCCCTCCACCCCCTCCATCCCCCGCCCCCCCCCGCCCCCCCCCACCCCCTCCACCCCCTCCACCCCCTCCACCCCCGCGTCTCGGAGCCCCGCACGAACCTGCTCGGACCCCCCAGCACGGGCCGGTTCGGACTAGGCGCGCCTCTCTCCTCTTGGCGGAGCAATGGCGACCAGCCCGTACGCACAGGCGGGCCGCCCCGCTCTTCCGCTCGCCGACCCTCTCCTCCCGGCCGGCCGCTGAGGCGTCTACAGCGGCGGCCGCGCGGGCGGCAGCGCGGCCGCGACGCGGGCGGCGGGGCGGGAGGAGGGCGGCGTGTTTGGGCGGCAGGCCGTGTTTTGCCTCTGCACGCGACGGCTCTCTCGCCCTCGCCGGCCTCCGGCTGCCGCAAGGCGGCGCGCGCGGGAAACCAGTCGCGCATCAATCTCCATCCCAACACATCTCAGCTCGTGGTAGAGCTCCCTCCGGGAGTAAGAGGCGTATTATGAGAGTATGTGTTTGCGGGTTGCCCATCCGCTGGTGACAACTGGAGTGTGGGGTGCGGTCGTGCGTAGCGCCGAGTTCAATATTCACGGGCGGGGTACGGCGGGAGAGATCAATCAAGGCCGAATCGTCCGGGAAAGTCCGGAAGGAGTTGACCCGAAATGAGAGCAGCGGAAGGAATCTGAGCCGCGCTCTTCCAGCGTCTCGCCGCACACAATGAGCTTCCAGAAGCTGCTCCCATGGATCGGCATCCTCTTGCTGCCGGCCATCTTCTACCTGGCGCTCGCTGGAGAGGGCAGCAACGAATAGATGAAAGACGCACGGGCAGCGTTTTCAGCCGGCACACGACGACAAGCACACGCTCGCCACACGCCACGGTTGTCTTAGGTACATTTGTGTGCAACTCCGCCGCCTTTGATGAGGGGAAGGCCCTCATCGTCGAGTCAGGGTGCGAGCTTGACGGTGAGAACCTGGGCGCGCTCGTGCACTTCACTTGCCCAGTGCAGCTTGACACCGCAGCTGTAACCGAGAGCGTCACGGGGGCAACCGTCCGTGGCGCGCTGACGGTACGCGCCGCGCTAATTCACCCCACTCACGCGAGCCCTGCCATCGGGAGCTGCTCTGGTGTGCCTTGCCTCAGGTCACATCGACGGTGCAGATGATGCTCTGGACCGAGAGGAGCTACCATGAGGTTGGCGGCGCAACTTGCTTCTGCTACAATACGACTTGGACGAGCATGGCAGCCGGCACAGGATAGCGGGAGAGTTTCCATGTACAGACAGTTCACGCGAGTGAGCCGAGGTGTGTAGGTGCCACGGATCGACCAGAACCACCTCCACCACATCTGCGGCGACAACGAGCACGACCCCGGACCTGATTGCCGAGACGCGGTCCCAACCAGCGAGGAGCTGTCCCTCGATACCTCTGGGCTCGGAATCTCTCACAGCTACGCGGAGCGAGTCGGTCTCGGGTTGGCAGGCGAACCAGCCCAGTTTGAGCTGAGCAAGGAGAAGCTGCTGCAGATGACGAACATGGGCCTGCGAACTGCGCCCATCGACATCCCGCCGCCCGCCGGGTGGTGGACGCAGAGCAAGCAGGGCGCGCAGAGCATTGACCCACTGGGCAGGTTGGTCGGCCAGATGGGCAAGATGGAGCAGGCGGAGGAGGGCGCGGTCCACTTCTACAAGCCTGTGGACGGCGTCTTCTCCTCGAGCCGGCCCGCCAAGCTGGGGGACCGGCGAGTGATGATGCAGGCATACACCGCCGAGAACGTCTCGGCGATTGGCAAGCAGGTTGACAGCTCGCCAGGCACCACTGAGCCCTACGAGGTGGGCAAGAACAACTCGTGCGGACACGTCTCGCTAGAGCTCTACATGAGTCAGGCGCTCCCCGCAACGGCGATGTTTGAGTTCCTCCTGGCGCACGTGAATGCGATGTTCATGCAACTCCGGGTCGAGTGTCTCCTGCTCTTCTTTGTGAACATCAGGAGGACTTGCACCGTCAAGACCGTCGCTTTACAATCACATCGTTCCGCCGCGTGAATAGGTCGCCTTCGTGATGATCGGTGGCCCTCTTAGCGGGGCCCCTGAGATCATGCCGAGCGTCGGGGCTTACTTTGCGGGCGTCTCAAAGTGTAGCGTTGCTTTTGCGGCCGCATTCTTTGCGCTCGGGCTCTGGAACTTTGCAGGCGCCATGGCCTGGCTCTCTCACAATCCAACAGTCGGCGATGAGCATCTTGGCGGTGCGATGTGGTGCTTTCTCATCGGCATCATCTGGCTCCGCTGGTCCAGGCCCAAGCATGGCGTTGCGTCCCGCGCCTTCAGCTACGAATCAGACACGAACAAACCAAAGGAGACTGTGGGGGAGGGCGGCTTCTTCTCCAGCGTGATGAACAAGATCGAGAGCGCGACGGGCTTGGACATCAACGGCAATGGGTCGGTGGGCCGCCCGACGGTCCCGAAGCCAACGCAAAAGCAACTCAAAGCGATCAAGGATCGGGCCGCGGCGATGGTGTGAGGAGGTGGCCCCGACCCAGATAGAGCCGTAGCGCGTGTATATTACTCGCCTACTGCTGCAGCTCGAGCAGCCGGGCCGCCCGGCCACGCCAGCGAGCGTCGACCGAGCGACGCCGGGACGGCGAGATATTGGGCGGCGCGCTCGAGCCGAGCGAGAGAGGATCGAGACACGTGTGTAGAGAGTGAGCTACTTGGTGCGCTGTGACGTGTGGCTGTGAGGAGGCGGGGCGCGACACACGCGCGAACCGCGATCACAGCGTTCAGTGGTCGCTCAGTGCGCGCGATAGCGAGAGATCCACCGGTCCTCTCTCTTAGTGCTCGCGCGGACCACAGCCGCTCACACCACTCAGAGCCACATAGCAGGTAAGGTAAGGTAAGGTAAACTTCTCCACACACACGAGGTGGTGGGGCAAGGGGGGGCAACCCTCGCGTCTCATAGCACATTTGGCCTGTGCAGTTCGCGGCCCCCCCGATTGTGGACATATTGGCCACCGTAATCAGTCATCCACCTCTCGTTCTCACAGCAACGTATGTAAGAATAGAGCGACTACCCACTCCACACAGACGACACCACAGGGCGACAGCTCACGCACGATAATATACCCATAAAAGCCACGGAGTCAAGAGACAGAACGACTTCCACACCCGAACATGCCCTCTGGCCCCGCGCGCGCGCTGTCTCGGCGGCGGCGGGGCGCAGTCATGGAGAGAAGATAGAGGGGGCGCGGCGGGCGCGAAGGGAAGAGTCGCCGCGGCGAGGGGACTCGCCCCCTCGCTCCTCGGCGCAACATGCCCGCGCCGCCGCCGCCGCCCCCCTTGGCCGCCGCGGCTCAGGAAGAGAGGGGGCGGCCGAGGGAGAGGGGAGGGGGGGGGGCGCGTCTACAGGGCGGAGGCGGCGGCGTCGCGCGCCACCTCGGCCGCCTCCTGCGAGAAGTAGCCGCCGAGGAGGAGGCCCTCGAAGTTGACGTCCTGCTGCGACCACGTCTTGCCCGACACCGCCTCCTGCGCCATGAAGCCGGCGGCGGCAAGCATGCCGAGGCGGCCTGCGGCGGGGGTGCGGGGCGGGGTGAGCCCTGCGGCGGCCCGGGCGGCGGCCGCCTCGCCGCGGGGCGTGGGCGCGGAGGGAGGGCGGGGAGGAGGGGAGGGGCCGGGGCGGCACCGTGCGACAGCTCCTTCTCCTGCATCTCGCGGAGCTCGGCGGGGTCGGTGGGCTTGAGGCCGAGCGGGTCGAAGCCGAGGTCGCCCGGGTAGTAGTCGGCCTTGAGCTTCTGGATGTTCTCCTGCCCGTCGCCCGAGTACGGGTTCTCCCACCCCTTTTGGATGCGCAGCGTCTCGCAGATGCCGATGCCGAGCGTCATGAGGAACCAGATGGCCGGCGGCAGCGCGGGGATCTGCTCGATGGCCGGGCCACCGTCCGCCGAGAAGAGCGGGTGGAAGCCCTCCTGCACCAGGAAGCCCGCCGCGGCGAGCATGCCCACGCGGCCGTGCGTGAGCTCCGCCTCGCGCCACCGGTAGACCTCGCTCTTGGAGGTGCCCTCGAGGAGGTTGGCGGGGTCAAAGTTGCCGGCCGGGGCGATGTTGCCCTGCGAGCGGGGAGGAAGAGGGGCGGCGACGTCAGAGGGGGTGAGGGGATGGAGGAGGGGGGCTGGCGCCGGCGGCGAGTGAGCGCGGGCTGGGAGTCGCGAGCGCGGAGCGTGGCGGCGGCGCACCGGCAGGCCGTAGGCGAAGTCGGCCTTGGAGGCGACGGGCTCGGCCGCGACCGCCTTGACGGGGCCGCTGCGGGGCGCGACGTTGAGGGCGAGCGAGGAGGAGGCGAGCGCGAGCGACATGGCGATGACAAAGGATGCTTGGTTCTGGGAGGTGTCTGCGAAGGGGCGCGGAAACGTCCTGGCTGAGAAAAGAATTTCGCGTTCGCTTGTCGTGCGGAACACAAAACCGAGATCATCCGTAGAGGCACGAGTGTTCAGACTATAGTCGAGCGCGTCGGAGAGGTGTTTCGAAGAGAGAGTGGACCTGAGCAACAACATGACCTGTAGGCAAATGATCGGAGTGGGAGTCAGAAATGTGGTCCTTGCGCGAGGGGAGCTCGATAGACTCGAGGGGCCAGGATACGCCGCGAGGAGGACGGAGTTGCGCCGAAAGGCGAAAGAAGCCGCGAGAACAAGGGACCGGCAGGCGGCGGCGCCGCAGGACGAGACAGAAGAGAACGACGCGACAGAGGAGGAAGTGACAAGGGAGAGAGCGACGAGAGTGGGACGGCCGCGAGGTGGCACGAAGGTTGAAGCGAGAATCGGAGAGAGACTGCGAAGAGAGATAGGAAGAGGCAGACTCCCTAGGGTGGGCGACGGATAGCGCACCACACACCTCTCCTTAAAATCCCTGTGTGGTGGCGGTGTGCCGTCCTCCCATCCCTCCCTTGGATTGTCTGTTTTCTTTCTTTTCTTTTACAAAACCGAGACGTACGAAAAGAAACCCGACGGCCGCAAACAAAAACAAATCTCAGACACGACGGCACAACATCTACATCTACATCTACATCTAGGAGAAGAAGAGACGCACATGTACGTACAAACCTCCATTCACATAAACGCACAACCCCGGGCCCCGAAACAGAGTGACAGTCAGACATGCAACACGGGAACCTCCATTCACGCAACAGACAATAGCGTCGCTGTTCACGGGCCCGGGGGCGCCTTGTCCCGCAAGTGAGGAATTCGCGCAGGAATGCCGTCGTGACGTGGTGTGCACGCCGAGCACCTAGCCTCGGGCCGTCGCGCCGGCTCCCTGACCCCCAGACACTCGGCCCAGCGAGTCACCCAGAGACGCCATGTAAGAGCTCCACCGCCGCCTGCACGTTCGCCGCGCTGTGCCGCAGAGCCCCTCGCGCGTCGGTCTCTCCGTAGCCCATCTCGAGCAGCTGCGCCACGCCAGCCTCGAACTTGTCGTCGGCAGACAGCCGTGCCGCCGCCCGATCCTCGTCGGTCTTCTGCCGCTTGGGCGGGTGGGCAGCAGGGGGAAAGAAGCTGGTGATGGATGGCGTCCCATGGACGACGCGCGGAGGATCGGCCGGCGAATCCATCTCCGCTTCAGCCGCGCCGCCGCCCTCGTCGTCGACGAGGTTGACCACCGCTGTCGGCATTCCCAACGGCGGTGCGGCGGCGGCGGCGGCGGCGGCGGCGGCGGCGGCGGCGGCGGCGGCGGCGGAGGCGGCGGATGCTGCGGACGCGGCGGCCGCGGCGGCGGCAACGATCTCATCATCAGTCGTACGTGAACCACAAGCACCTTCAGTGCACCCTCCATCCGGTCCGCCGCCGGCGCAGCATCATGCGCGTCGTGAGCCAGCCCGGCGACAAGCAAGTTGTCAGCCTCGAGGCCGCGCGCCACCCTGCCGCAGGACTTGTCGAGGGGCTCACTCTTGTCCTTCTTCTCCAGCGAGTCGAGCTTGACCGGCCGGCCACTCTTGCAAGCGAGCTGCGGGTCGAGAAGGCTGAGAGAGATGCCGAGGCGTGAAGGGGTGAGGCGGTGGCGGCGGCGGTGGCGGGCACTGCGGTCGAGCAGCTCGCTGCAGAGCGACCAGAGCTGCAGGTCGAGCTCACGTGACTCGTCGCTGTCGCCGGCGGCCAATGGCGACACCGGCGTGGTGCGGCCGCGAAAGGGGACGACGATCGGCACGACGGCGAGCGAGAGCGACTGAGAGATCTCGTTCTGCGGTCGCCGCTCCTGCACGCGCGCGTCGTCATCGTCGACGGCCTCGCCACGCACGCGCTGGTAAAGCTCGCGCGCGAGGCTGCCGGGGCTGCTGCGGCCAGGCCCGGTCGGGCCCTCCTCGCTTCGCAGGAGCGACTCCAGACGGTTGAGAGAGAGCTCCTGCGCGTCTCGCAGTGACGGAGCGCTGCCGTGAAGGACGGTGGCGGCGACAGCGGCGACGACGCCGGCGGAGCAGCAGCTTCGTTGGCCGTCGGCGGGCAGCACGGCGAGGTCTGTCTGGGAGAGGAGGGCGTCCACCTCGTCGGGCGTGATCGCGGAGACCACGCCGCGGCCACCGCGTTCGGGCTTCGCCGCGCGCGACGCGAGCTTTGCCACAGACTTGAGAAGGCCGAGGCCAATTGACACGTCGAAGCCCAGCGCGCGCGAGCGGCGGCGCACCTCACCAGCGAGGCGCAGTGTGGCGGCGACATCAGCCGTCCCCGCGTCGATCCACACCTCGTCGAGGCTCGTCGGGTGCGCCTCGATGACGGCGTCGGCGGCGATTTTGCGCCACAGCGCCACGAGCCGTGCCGACCAGCGTCGGTACAGCGCATACGTCACGCGGCCGGAGCTGGGATCGGTGGGCACGTGGATGAGGCCCGGCGACACATTCTGCGCCTTGAAGATTTCGCGCGCGTCGGCCGGCGACATGTGCTTGTGCACGCCCAGCTGTTTCGCGTGGTGGTTGACGGCGATGATGTCGTTGTGCTGCTGCACCGCGAGCGCCTTGCCGCGTGGGTACTTCTGCGGCTCCTCCGCCTGGTGCACGTGCACGAAATAGGCGTCGACGTCGACGTGAAGTTTGATGCCGCCCACGCTCGTGCGAAGAGAGGACGAGGAGGAGGACGGGCCTGCTATAGCGCTCATCGGGCCGCTGCTTAGAAAGATTCTTAAGATACAAGCCTCTCTCACAGCACGAAAGAATTCTTAAAATACAAGCCTCTCTCACAGCACACTGGCGCGACAAGGGCGCAGACTGGCGCGGACTGGCACACACACAGGCTCACCACCGGAGCCGCCTAAGCGACTCCGTTAAGAACGGCAATGCACTCCGCACCATGCACAATGCCGCTCTCCCCGCACGCTAGCTCGTTCACCGTCTGCCACGCCACGGCGGTGTGGAGGACGACAGACAAGCGCTGCATCTGCAGCCCGTGCCAGTTCTTGGTGGTCCATGTGACCTCGTCCAGGTGCTGAGCGTGCGAAAGTTTATTGCTCAGCTGGTTCGCCGCCTCCCTCAGGGTGCTGCGAACCTCCTTTCCAAAGCCTCCGAAAGCCTCAAAATCAAACAAACGTAGATCGCAATCCTGCTGCCGCGCAAAGGGGTAATCGCCAGGCTGCTCCGTGAGCTTTCTCTTGGGGGCATCCTCCTCCTCCCCCTCCTCCCCCTCCTCCTCGGCCTCCTCCTCCTCCCCCGCCTCCGCCGCTGCCGTCGCTTCCGACGGAGACCACTTGCCGCGCCCTTTGACCAACTTGCTTAGAAAGAAGAAAATCAGGGGGCGCGCTTCTTAGCTCCTCGGCCCTTGGGTTGTCTGTTTTCTTTCTTTCTTTCTTCCTCGGCCCTGGATGTGAGGTTACCGACTGCACTCCAAGTGCTCCAAGTGCGCACCCCGGTAATCTGTGGTGGCGCCGTCCTCCCGCTTGGCGGGTCAACTTTGCTGCCAGTGCGCGCCCATCCCGTGCCCAGCGTTGTGCGAGAGCAGAGGGAGGCCGTTGTCGGTAAATTCTTTTCTCAGCCGGACGTTTCCGCGCCCCTTCGCAGACACCTCCCAGAATTCCTCACTTGCGGGACAAGGCGCCCCCGGGCCCGTGAACAGCGACGCTATTGTCTGTTGCGTGAATGGAGGTTTGTACGCACACATGCGTCTCTTCTTCTCCTAGATGTAGATGTAGATGTAGATGTTGTGCCGTCGTGTCTGATTTGTTTTTGTTTGCGGCCGTCGGGTTTCTTTTCGTACGTCTCGGTTTTGTAAAAAGAAAGAAAGAAAACAGACACGCCAAACGAGGGATGGGACGAGGACAGGGTCCCCACCTGCACGAGCAGGATTTTGGAAGAACGATCAGGGGGACAGGTGGGGCTCTCCTGCTCCTGACGTCTCGGTTTTGTGTTCCGCACGACAAGCGAACGCGAAATTCTTTTCTCAGCCAGGACGTTTCCGCGCCCCTTCGCAGACACCTCCCAGAACCAAGCATCCTTTGTCATCGCCATGTCGCTCGCGCTCGCCTCCTCCTCGCTCGCCCTCAACGTCGCGCCCCGCAGCGGCCCCGTCAAGGCGGTCGCGGCCGAGCCTGTCGCCTCCAAGGCCGACTTCGCCTACGGCCTGCCGGTGCGCCGCCGCCACGCTCCGCGCTCGCGACTCCCAGCCCGCGCTCACTCGCCGCCGGCGCCAGCCCCGCTCCTCCATCCCCTCACCCCCTCTGACGTCGCCGCCCCTCTTCCTCCCCGCTCGCAGGGCAACATCGCCCCGGCCGGCAACTTTGACCCCGCCAACCTCCTCGAGGGCACCTCCAAGAGCGAGGTCTACCGGTGGCGCGAGGCGGAGCTCACGCACGGCCGCGTGGGCATGCTCGCCGCGGCGGGCTTCCTGGTGCAGGAGGGCTTCCACCCGCTCTTCTCGGCGGACGGTGGCCCGGCCATCGAGCAGATCCCCGCGCTGCCGCCGGCCATCTGGTTCCTCATGACGCTCGGCATCGGCATCTGCGAGACGCTGCGCATCCAAAAGGGGTGGGAGAACCCGTACTCGGGCGACGGGCAGGAGAACATCCAGAAGCTCAAGGCCGACTACTACCCGGGCGACCTCGGCTTCGACCCGCTCGGCCTCAAGCCCACCGACCCCGCCGAGCTCCGCGAGATGCAGGAGAAGGAGCTGTCGCACGGTGCCGCCCCGGCCCCTCCCCTCCTCCCCGCCCTCCCTCCGCGCCCACGCCCCGCGGCGAGGCGGCCGCCGCCCGGGCCGCCGCAGGGCTCACCCCGCGCCCACCCCGCACCCCGCAGGCCGCCTCGGCATGCTCGCCGCCGCCGGCTTCATGGCGCAGGAGGCGGTGTCGGGCAAGACGTGGTCGCAGCAGGACGTCAACTTCGAGGGCCTCCTCCTCGGCGGCTACTTCTCGCAGGAGGCGGCCGAGGTGGCGCGCGACGCCGCCGCCTCCGCCCTGTAGACGCGCCCCCCCCCTCCCCTCTCCCTCGGCCGCCCCCTCTCTTCCTGAGCCGCGGCGGCCAAGGGGGGCGGCGGCGGCGGCGCGGGCATGTTGCGCCGAGGAGCGAGGGGGCGAGTCCCCTCGCCGCGGCGACTCTTCCCGTCGCGCCCGCCGCGCCCCCTCTATCTTCTCTCCATGACTGCGCCCCGCCGCCGCCGAGACAGCGCGCGCGCGGGGCCAGAGGGCATGTTCGGGTGTGGAAGTCGTCGCGTTCTCAGCGCGTTCTGTCTCAGTGTCTCTGAGGCCGGTCTGCGTCTCGCTCTCAGATTTTGGTATATACTGTGAGGTCCTGTCACCTGTGGAGTCGAGCTGTGTGGTGTGGAGTACGTTGCTATACGTCGCTGTAAGAAAGAGCATGGGAGGGCGCACAGAACGGTGCAGTAGCCACTATATACTCCGTACTGGGCTGGGTTTTTAGGCATTGTGGGGTTGGCACTCCCATCGACCCTCATGACCTCCTGCGGTCTCTGAGATGGACACCAGTGGGTGTGGGACCACAGCCAGGATACACTCGAAGGCTGGGTAAGCAGTAGAGGTCGATACTCGACGCGTCCCACATGGTATGTGTCGCTGTCGGCACGCTGTCGACAGGACGTCGAGCGACACCGGTGGCAGTGCCACCCAGGAGTGGTCGGGCGGTCTCCCGTCATGAGAGAGTCACCATGTGATCCGTATGATGATTCCTGACAACCGCCTCAGTCAACTTTCGTCACAGTTCCCGCTCTGAGAGGAGCTGCGGGTCAGTTTGACAGCTGGAGCTGTGTCGCCGGCGTGCGGCGGCCTGCCTCCGGAGGTGCCTCTGAGGTGGACATTTTTTGGTCACCGTGAGAGAACGCGTTCGAATTTTACTCCGGAGTTTCAACTCCACACGCGCACCGGCCAGGGCTACAATAGTGCCAGTGAGGCGAAGGCGCGAGTCGGAAGGCCGCGACCGTCAAGTGTTCCCGTCATTTTCCTACAATCGCTGTGAACCCAGCCACGTAGGTAGTCCGTACTCACGTGTGCGGTAAGGTGTAACACTAAATCTTTTTAAAAGGACACATGGGGCTATCCGGTAGTCCGTACTCACGTGTGTAACACTGTGCTCTAGAACGGTGCAGTAGCCACTATATACTCCGTAGCGGATAGGCCGATGACTTGCCCGCCCGGTTTTGAGCTTGCGTCCCAGTCGCTGCAGCAGCTCTAGCGCGCGCGCGGGGCCAGAGGGCATGTCCGGGTGTGGAAGTCGTCGCGTTCTCAGCGCGTTCTGTCTCAGTGTCTCTGAGGCCGGTCTGCGCCTCGCTCTCAGATTTTGGTATATACTGTGAGGTCCTGTCACCTGTGGAGTCGAGCTGTGTGGTGTGGAGTACGTTGCTATACGTCGCTGTAAGAAAGAGCATGGGAGGGCGCACAGAACGGTAGCCTCTACCCCTTCGGTCCGTCGAATCTCGGCGCGGCAGATGCGACGCCGAGACTGACGAAACCTCCCTGTGGTGGGCTGCTGAGCCTCCCCACGCTCGACCTTTGAGGTAGTATGATGGAAGGTCGATGCCCGGAACGGCCTAAGCTCAGCTGAACCCCACGCATAGACCTCCTCGAATCACCTCAAAGGTAAGGGATGGCAACTCCACGCGCTGTCTGCAGAGCCCGTCAATACAAAATCCCCGTCAGGCGCAGACCCGTCTGAAGCCGCTGCTGACGCACAGCCGGCGGGTCAATCAGACACTGGGTGCTGGCCGTCGATGGGCTGAAGTGTGGGTTGCAGGGACAGCGCGCGAGGAACTGAAGCAGAATGCATCGGTCTGGGTCCTATCGACGCCAGACTCGACCATATGCCGACTACCTGCCTCCATTGCGGAGGTAGGCGAGGATGGACTGCCACTTGGCATCTGTCCAAGTCTGGGGAACCGCACTGGCATCAAAGATAGTTCGACGACAACAGACATTCAACGCACACCAGTTACTTTGACTGTGCGCTGACTCACGCGTCCCCGCGCCCGTAGAGGAAGCGAGGCAGTCGAAAGACGAGCGCGGTGCCGTCAACGACGACACTCGGCTCGGCTGCACCCACCGCCACCACGGCAATCGCACCGACAAAAACGATAAACGTAGAGAACCGCAGGAAAGCATGGCACCGCACGCGCCAGCAAGGCACGAATGACGTCTGAGCGAAGCCAAGCCTCTCTGCGACTGTATCTGAAGGCGCGGTAGCGGTAGACGGGCAAGCCACAGCTGGCAAGATGCCGATCGCCATTGACCTTGCTCGAGCCGCGGCGAGCCCTGAAAGTGGAGCGTGTCAGGATCGATTGCTCGGCTGTGAACTGACCTCGCTGTGAATGTGACCGCCGTCACAGACACTATTGTCCATGAATGGTAGACTGAGAGTAGAGTAGAATCGGGTCGAGCGACCGGCCCAGTCGACCGTCCCCTCCCCTCAGCAGAGCGGGCGAGAATCCTAAAGGATTCACGCCTCCACACCTCACTGATGCAAGGCGGGGTACTCCGGCTCTTGCTGCTGCTGGGCGCCGCGCGCCGTTCGGCCGCTGCGGACGGGTATGGCTCCTTCGTGCGCAACACTATTCCGGACACGGCGACCCGCGTCGTCGGCATCGATGCCCAGTCGGGCCAGCCAGCCCCAGCACCGGCGCCGCATCGGAGGGGTTCCAAGGACGACCAGAAGCGGCAAGAGAAGGAGGCGCAGCACGCAAAATTCAAGTCGGGCGAATTGCCGCTCTACACGGTGTCCGACCTGGAGTGCGGCACGTGCTATTCCGCCTCGGCCCACACGTGGGACGTGTCCCTTGTCGACGAGGAGAAACGCTTCCAGGTCGAGAAGCGAGCCTTGAAGGACGTCGACCCGGCGCTCATCATCAAGACGATCAGCTCGGAGACGCCGCTGCACATCGTGGCGGATCCGGCGAGTGCCAGCAAGCTGCGGCTTCTTCAGGAGCCCGGCGCGTGGAGGCAGGCCTTCAACGAGCTGAACCCAACTCTGCCCGGCGTCGCCAGCGGCGAGCTCGACTGGCAGTTTGGCGACACGGCGACGCGATGGGGCAACATGGCAGGGTCGCAGCCGCACACCGACGGGCACAATGACAATTGCCAGCCGCTCTTCCACTACCAGGTGGCGGGCAAGAAGCGCTTCTTCTTCCACACGCACCACAACACGACCGCGACAAGGGACTTTAAGCACCTCGTCGGCGCGGGCTTCATCTCGGACTCCGTCTACGTGGTCGACATCACGGCGGGCGACCTCCTGGTGTTTGTCAACTGGCTGATGCCGCATGGCATCGAGTACGTCGAGCAAGGCTCCGAGTCCTACTCGGGACGGCTGGACTTGAAAGGGAATTTCGACGCGCTGCGCGATGTGTGGAAGACGGATGCCTTCCATAAGGAGCGATGCGGCGACGTCGGCTGCACAATCCATCCGCGGATCACGCGCTGCTTCACGCCGTGACTTTGATATTCGGTTGTCGACGTGCTGTGTTTTGATTGAGGTCTGTGTCGGATTCTTGTGTGCGTGTGCGGACACGCGTCCGCTCAGCAGGCGGCGAGACGCACGCTCCAGGTGTGCATGAGAAATTTTAGTAGTGACAGAGCGGAGATGCTTTGAAATTAGTGTTGAAAGTGTAAAAGAAAGAGCGAGGCGCATTGGGCGCCCGGATCCGCGCCGGGTTAGCCGCGTGCGACCGCCGTCCGTCCCGTCCGAACACCAGCAGCAGCAATGCCCTCCTCTCAGTCTGACTCATCATCATCCTCGTCCTCGCCTCTCAGTCCCGCCACTCGACCGCGGCCACCTGCTCTCCATACTTGCCGTCCACAGACTCGTTGATCGTCTCCTCTAGCAATGCCCACAAGGCCATACTGCGCCGCCGCCACCGCCTTGCCGTACACCACGAGCTTGGTATATGCCAGCCGTGCTTTCGCGGGAGTCGTCTCTCGAGCCGCGTCCCGTCGGCACTGTCCCCGAGTGCCCCGCCTTGGCGGCACACACTCTCGACCAGGACAGTCCGGCCTACGGGAACGTGTGGCGCGCCGGCGACGATTGCGGCGTGGTCGTTGTGAAGCGAAGATGGCACGACCACCGCCCTGCTTCGCAGACCGGGCAAGGAGGGGCCTGCTCCCGTTCCGCGAGGAACATGAGGTCTCCCCCCTCCCCCCGGCCTGAGCAGCTACGGTGGAAGGCAGCCCCGTGAGTCGAGGGCGGCGCGACCATTGCGCCGACTCAAAGACCAGCTAGCTGGCCCGTTCAGTACAGATGGTCTCGCCGCCCCGCTCCGCGCCGCCCGCCGCCGCGCCGCGCCCCCGCCCGACGATTATTAATGCCCCCGACTGAATACCTCCCCCCAACGGAATTCTGGAATACAATCTATTAATAATTAATCACTCCATCAGCAGCTCAGCGCTGATCGCGCTGCACCTATGACTCGACCAGTGTGAAGGTGAAGAGATAACACCGAGCGTGCGGGCAGCTGGCGGGCGGGAGGGGCAGCAGGAGCAGCATCATTGCCATCAGCAGCAGCAGAGGAGCAGTGCCGCCGCGTCGCCGCCGCCGTCCGCGCGCCGCCGCCACCGTCCGCGCGCCGCCGCCAGCCCGTGTGTTGCTGCAGCCGCCTCCGCCGCCGCCGCCCGCCTCCGCAGTGCCCTCGCGCCCGCGGACAAAACCAGTCATATATCATGAGCCAGTTTTGCAGAGCGTACAAGACCTCCATGACTCCGTTGCACGATCGGCCGGCGTTCGAGCCGGCGCTCTTATGCCGCCGGCTCGCGAATCCCGGTGGTCCGTGTCCTCGCGGAGCGACGCGGATCGCGCGCGTGTGCGCCTGCGACAAGACGAGACGAGACGAGACGAGAAGTAGAAGCGAACGTCGATGTTTTTGCTGCCGCGGCCGGGCCGCGACCTCCCTTTTGTTTTGGCGCCGATGCAGCGCCGTCTCTCGCCGCGCGAGATGGCGCCGCCGCGGCGTCGGCGCCGCGATCAACCGCGCTCCAGCAGCGAGCGGTGCAGAGCGGCTACCGACATGACAGTTGGCGACGGCGTCTCATCGAAGGCACACTCACACACACTCACTCACTCGGGCGGGCAGAGAAAAAAAGAAAAAAAAACCTCCCCATCTCACGCGCTGCTCCGTTACCTGGCCGTGCGCGCCCCTGCGCTCACCTCCGCCGCCGGATCGGGCGCCTGCGGCGCCGCTGAGTTCGCCGCTGCTCGCGCGCGACGATGGTCGCTCAGCCCGAGGCGGGCGGCGGCCTCGCCAATCTCGGCAACACCTGCTTTATGAACTCGGTCCTGCAGTGCCTCGTGCACACACAGCTGCTCCACAGATACCTCGAGAAGCGGCAGCACTCGGCCAAGTGCCGCCGCCGCCAGGGGGAGTTCTGCCTCTTCTGTGCGCTCGAGGATCTGGTGCAGCGCACGTTCGCGCAGGGCCCGCGGAGCCCGGCCTTTGCGCCGCGCGCGATCGCCAACGCCCTGCCCGCAATCGCAAAGGGGTTCCGGCTCGGCCGCCAGGAGGACGCGCACGAGTTTCTGCGGTACGTGCTCGAGAAGCTCACGAAGGAGGGCAGCGCGGTGGTCGAGGCCGCCCGCCCACCGGGCGTGACTGGCAAGTACACGGCGCTGCAGTCCTGGTTCTCGGGCGCACTCCGCTCGCAGATCCAGTGCTGCCACTGCGGACACGAGTCGAACACGCAGGACCCTTTCCTCGACCTGTCCCTCGAGCTGCGCGCCGTGGGCGGCCGCGTGGCGCCCGACTTGGACGGCGCGATGACGCAGTTCTGCCAGGAGGAGTTCCTCGACGGCGCAAACAAGTACAAGTGCGAGGCCTGCGGCAAGCTGCGGCGCGCGCGCAAGCAGTTCCTGGTCGAGCGTCCGCCGCGCCACCTCTCGGTGCATCTGAAGCGCTTCTCGTTTGGCGAGGCCGGCGGCGGCTCCGGCAAGATCTCCGCGCACGTCGCCTTCCCCGCGACCTGGCAGCTCGCGCGCTACTCGGCGGCGCGCACGCGGCTCGGGGTGGAGCAGACGCCGCCGCTGCCGTACCAGCTGTACGCCGTCGTCTGCCACGACGGCGGCTCGACCCACTCGGGGCACTACTACTGCTACGTCCGCGCGATGGGCAAGCCCGGCAACGGCGCGGCCGGCGGCGGCGCCAGCGGCGGCGGCGGCGGCGGCGGCGCCCGCTGGTACCTTCTCAACGACTCCCAGGTCAAGCTGGTCCGGGAGGCGGACGTGCTTCGCGCGCCGGCGTACCTCCTCTTCTACCTCCTCCCCCAGCAGCACCACGAGGCGGCGATCGCGCACTGGAGGGATGTCGTCGCCGCCGCCGCCGCAGCGTCCGCCTCGCCTGCCGCCGCCGCCGGCCCCAGCAGCAACGGCCCCAGCGGCAACGGCGGCCCCAACGGCAACGGCGGCGGCGGCGGCGGCGTGGCGACGGCGAGCGCCGCGCGCCTCCTCCCACGCGCCGTGTCTCGAGCCGCGTCCGGCGGCGGCGTCTTCGGCCCGCACCTACCGCGCTCGGCCGCGCCTCCCGTCTGCTCCGCGCCGCCCGTGGGCGGTCCGGTGATTGGTCCGGTGATTGGGCCTCAGCTGCCGCCGCCGCCGGCGCCAGCGGCGGCGGAGCAGAACGGGGCGGCCTTCCCCATTGGGCCACAGCTCCCTCTTCCGGCGCCGCTGGAGAACAGCCACGCGAATGGGTGTGTCGGGCCGCAAATCGGGCCGCAGCTCCCTCCGCTCCCGGCGGCGAACGGCGGGCCCGCGACGCCCTCCTCGCCGCACCTCCTCCCGCCCGGCGCAGCCAACGGACCGCCGCCGCCGCCGCAGCCGCCGCAGCCTCCGCCGCAGCCACCGCAGCATCCACCCGCAGAGGACATTGCCGCCGCCGCTGCGCGGTCGCCATCGCCGCTTCGGTCCTCCGCCTCCTCCTCCCGCACGGCCGGCCCGCGGCCGTTCCTCGACGTGCGCAGCGCCTTCCGGACGTGCGCAAACGGCCCGCCCATCGCGCGCTCGTGCGCGGTTGCGGGGGGCGGAGGGGGCGGCGGCGGAGAGGGCAGAGGGGTGGAAGGCGGAGAGGGAGGCGGCGGAGGCGGCGCAAACGGCGGTGCAAGCGGCGGGTCAAACGGCGGTGCAAACGGCGGTGCAAATGGCGGTGCAAATGGCGGTGCAAACGGCGGTGCAAATGGCGGTGCAAATGGCGGTGCAAACGGCGGTGCAAATGGCGGTGCAAATGGCGGTGCAAACGGCGGTGCAAATGGCGGCGGCGCCCGCGGCGGCGGCGGCGGCGGCGGCGGCGGCGGCGGCGGCATTAAGGTGGGGCCGTCACAAGCAGGGGTGGAGACGCAAAACGGCACAGCCAGGCGGGAGAGCTGCGGCGGTGCTGGAGGAGGCAGCGGTGGAGGAGGCGGTGGCGGAGGAGGCGGTGCCGGAGGAGGCGGTGGTGGAGGAGGCGGTGGTGGAGGAGGCGGTGGTGGAGGAGGTGGTGGTGGAGGAGGCGGTGGTGGAGGAGGTGGTGGTGGAGGAGGCGGTGGTGGAGGAGGCGGTGGTGGAGGAGGTGGTGGTGGAGGAGGCGGCGACGGCGGCGCGTGTAGCTGCTCTTGTGCGGGGTACGGCGGGGTGCCCAACGGCGGAGTGCGTGGCAACCATGGCCCGGCGGGTGGCGGGGGTGGATCAAGTGGTGGGCTGAACGGCGCGCCACTCGCCGCTGGCACGCGGTGCTGGTACCTGCTGGCGGGTCCGCAGGGCGGCGGCAGGTGCACTTGCCGCGCCTTGCCTCTGTTGCCGCTCCCGCCGTGCTGCCCTTCAGCGCGGTGCTGCCCCGCACCGTCGCCTCTCCCCGCACCGTCGCTTCCTCTCTAGACCCCCCCCCCCCCCCTCCCCCCTCCCTGTTCGCTCCTTTCCTCCCCTCGCCCCGCCGCACCGGCGCTACCTCCGCCTCAACCACCCACCGCCGCCCGCCCCTGCCCACGCAGCTCCCCGCCCCCACGCACCTCCCCGCCCACGCAGCGCAGTACCCCGCCCACGCAGCACCCCGCCCACGCAGCACCCCCGCCCCCACGCAGGTGCCTTGTCGAGGTGCTCAAGGCACACTACGACGACTCCCCCCC